GCCCCGGCCCCCGGAACAACACCGACGCCCGCCATTATTATAAACCGCGGACGGAGTATAAAATATTCCGGTTTACAGGCGCACTCCGCTCCTTTCCGCTTTACGGCGCCGGCGTCGCTCTATCTTCGCCTTCCAACCCTCGCCCCGACGACGACGAGGCGATCATGAATACTGAAAAAAAAGGTTTATCGCGGAGCTGCACGCATCGGCGCTGAATGAAAAGCGTAAAATGTTTACGAGTGCCGGCCGGGGGATGGATCCGGGAATTTTATAAAGTCGGCCGTCCGCCTGCCGATAAAACTTCCCGCGGAACTTCTACTTGTTCCTCGAGCAGTCTCCTCGTCGGGGGAGTATCCGCGGTGATCGGATTCATGGATGCGAGGGAGAAGCGCGCGACTATCGGTCCGTTTTCCGAGGGAATCGGGGTATCCCCGCGACGATGATGGGAGAGTCTCGCGATCGGAAACGGTTGCACGCGCGATCGCGCGCGTCGTTCTATCGTTTAAAAAATACGATCTTCCATCTGCGTTCGGTGTTACAACTTTTACTGTCGATGACCGGAGCTTTGAAATTAGAGAATAATTATGACTTGGAAGATGATTTCGAACGCAAATCTTCCGCAACGTATATAACTAGATAGCAGGGCACTATAAGCATTTTCATATCGAAGAGTTAATAATTCTTGCTTCGTATCGTTGCTACAGCAAGGATGAATGATACAGAAAACACCGATGTTCTCGCTTCTCCCTACCTCTCGCTTCTAAACGGAAACCAGGTCTAACAGCGAACGCGCCGAGGAAAATAATCGTTAATTTCTACCGTCGAATTTTCTTTGTCGATCGGGTAATCATGCCCGCAGCGCGTCGAACGCGGAACGCGGCCCGAATGAGCATTCGAAGACTTGATTAGCCCGTTCGAATCGGCGGGTAACATTTAAGCGCGAGCCGGGCCAAAGGTCCGCCGCGTTTTCGGGGACGGGTCGTGTCCGTGCGCGGCTAACGATAACCTTATTATAACCGGGGGCATTCTCGAGGAGCCGGGTTCCCGCGATAGGTTTAATTCGGGCTCCGGATCCCGAGCGGAGTTAACAAACTCCTTTTTGGACGTGATCTCGTCGGCAGGCGGCCGGTCGGTACGTGCTCGTCGCGGATTACCGGAAATTCGAGGAACCGGGCTCCGCCGTCCGGCCGATGAATTCCGGCCGGAATATTAATTCGCGCCGGCGAAGACTGCGGCCGCGCCGCGCCGCGCCGCGGCACGGAATTTTTACGAATCCGAGCGAAGCGAATTTCATTAACTCCGCGCCGTTGATTCGCCGGCCGGGATAACTTACGGCCGAACGGACGTCGTATTAATATTTCTGTTGATTTTACGAGACGCCCGGAGAGTTCTGGAACGAGCGGGGCCGTTCCAGGGGAAACGGGAGGCCAGCGCTGGGAAATTAGAGGTCTCCGCCGCGGATCCGAACGGTGGAAGAAGGACGGGGAGGTTCGACGAGGAATTTCTGGCTGCCGACTACCGTTAGCCGCGGACGGGGAACGATCGGTAATGAGGACGCGCGAGTAGTCGATGGTAATAAGCAGCCGCGAACCGCCCGGGGAACTAATTATTCTTTATGGCCCGGTCGGACGGGATCCGCTGGAACGCGTTCCGAGAATGACGGATGATATCGCATGCCGCGTATTAACGAGACGACGCGTTTCCCCGCAGCTGAATCGCCTCTTAAAGTAAGTGGTAATATAGTAGCGGTTACTACTTGTTGCCGGTCGGAAGTTCTTTCCCTTCCGGATTAATGCAGCGCTTCGTCGGAGGATTCCGGCTTGTCGTCGCGGTCCGGCGTAATAGAAACTCCCCCCGGCGGACTCGGTCAGCTTGTTTTTCTCTGTACCGAGCGACGATCGTTGATGCCGATGGTTCCATCGACGATAAATTCGCTCGGTACGATCACGGGTGAAAATGATTTTTCATTTCCGACACCCCGCAACGGCGATTTATACTGTTTACGGTACGGTGCACGCGAACATGCTGGACTCGATTTAATTTCGTCGCGTCCTCGAGGTGGAAGCGACCGGTATTCGTTTCAGCGAGTTCCTTGAACCCCTACGATTTGATTTCGCGGGCGCACCGAGAGCTACTTTTCGTTGATAACAGCGGAACGAAAGATTCTATGCTGTTTCTATATCTGGATACACTCTGAATATAGGTTGCTAAAGAAAAATATTGCATTTGGACTTAACCCCTTGATTTCTTCAACTCTGATCGACGCGGCTACTTTGTGATTAATAATTTATTGGAAGAAGAGACAAATTCTAAGCGTATGTTATGCCTATATTCTCTTTTAAGTATAACAGCTGATTACAGAGGGATAATATTTACTTTGAATTCGAATGAACCGATACATATATTTGTTGAATCAGGCTGAGAATGTTCACCACGACATTTACATTTGTCGAACCGTATTAGAAATCTCCGCTACGAGTTCAACACGATATCGCGAGGCAAGGGGTGAATCTCTCGATTCATCGTTGAACAGTTTTCGTCGAATGCTCGCGCGCGGTCTGTTACGCCTCGTTCCCTCTTCTCGATTTGCTCGTGGAAAAAAAGAGTCGAAGTCGCTGCGAGATCGAATGACGCCGGTGATCGATGACGGAGGATCCGCGGAGGACGGTGGGCATGAATTATCGAACGCGGACAGCGGGAAACGAGTCGCCGGTCGGTTGGGTTTCACGTAGACCGCGTTTCCGTCTTGTTCGGAGCGTTACTCGCTCCTTCTGTCCGGCTCGTGTTACGAGCCACGAAACGAGTGGACACGTGAAACGCGGTCGCCTGTTGTTCCAGCGGC